CATGTGCTGTGAGGCTTGTAACCCAAAGTTATAGTAGGACCTTGTCAAGTTTACTTAGGGCTTGAGTAAGCTGGCTGCTGGTTTGTCCAGTAAAGCAGAAGCAAGTTTTAAGAATGATGAGGCTTGTTGGCAGAACACACACAACCCAATGTGAATTTCTTCCTCAAATTTGCTTATAATCTAGCCCACGGTTAGAAAATCTCTGTAATAAGAGAACCACAAACCTTGAATTCATCATTAACTTTCTTGTTAGACTATAAAGAAAAATACTGTTGTAAGCCAGAATTAAGGCAAATGCATGGGGTTGCCCATGTTTAGTGCAACCACTAAATGTTAACAAATTATTGTCAAAAATCTTAACAGGTATGCTGAATTGTGAATCCTACATTAGGAAACGAATGGCAATACAGTGTTTAGAAGTACTTTGTCTTGCCAAAGATCATTACTGGAAATGTATACTGCAGGCAGGTGAGCTGTCATGTGTACTATTTGTCACTTTTTCTGCTAGAAGTTATTTTAATAATAATGAACATAGTGAAAGAGATCAAGCCGGCTTCTCTGTCTTCTAGAACAGAGGTCCTCAATCCCTGGGCCACGGCCCACCAGGAACCAAGTTGTGCAAGTGAGCAAAGCCCGATCTGTGCTGCATGTGAAACCACGCCCCCTGGTCTGCAGAAAAACTGCCCTCCATGGAATTGGTTCCTGGTGCCCCAAAGGTTGGGGGGGCTGTTCTAGTATACTATTTATCTGTAGCCTAACAGTTTGACTTCCTGAGATGGCTGGCATGACTTGTGGTTACCTAAAATTCATGTCCTAAGGCACTTTAATATCCATTCTGAAATTCCCTACTAGGAAGTGGCTGAGGATTTAATTTTCTCCATTATGACCATAACCATACATAAAACAGAGCCGATTAGATGTGATGTTTTCTTTGAATAAAAGTGTTGATGTAGAGGAGCTTCACATGACCCTTTTATCATCTTTCTAGACAATTTAATTCCTAGCCTTGGCAGGAACGGACAAGGGAGAGGGGGGAATGTTACTTAAAGTGATCCAACTAAATTGCCTAAAAGAAGCATTTCTCAAAGCTTAATGAAAAGATACTTTTTCTTTTATCGGGGGAAGTTACTGCATTTAACAGCATAGTCTCAAGCGTTTCATTTCTGGAAAAGATAAAGGAAAAGGTAATAATTTCACAGCTGCAGACATACCTGTGCAATATCGATTATCTGGATTCATTTCAATTGGGCTTTTTTATCTGAGACAGAGGCACTTAGATGAGTTCTGATTGAAGAAGAATGTAGGGAATACAGATCATCTATCCCCCATAGCCCTGTCGTTACATTTGATAATTTTCCCAATAAAACAAATTTATGTTAGGGAAAAGTTTATACAAATATTAAAAATATTTCTGGAAATAACTTACCAAAAGACCTAATTAAAACAATTATCTGAAAAAATTGTATATTTGCACATTTTCAAAACAAAAATGTGTCTTTCAAGAAATTGATATCGATATACAAATATTAATTCATTGAAATGGAGGGGCATGGATAAATAAAAAGGGAAGAACAGAGGAAAATATTGCTTATTATTATTTTGTGTGCTTTCCCATGGCAAAAGCATAAAAGGCTTTTTATCTTATTTGGTTCAGTGACAAGGAAGTAAATAACAAGCAAGGTTCAAGGATTTGCATATTCTGTGAGGCTTACTTGTCTGCATAAATGTATATAATGGCCATATATATAGTGCCAGTCATTCCTCCTTCAGATTTCACTGCATTTCCCTCCCGCTTTTTTCGGTTGCTCAGAAATTCTTAACCAAATGATCTCTGCCACAGTCACCTAAAGAAGTCAGAGCCTTGGAGAGATTCAGAGCATGTTGCATTTCTGTAACTGGTGGGTTGTTTTTGTTCTTGGTGGCAGGTACCATACCGTCATTAATCAGCTTGTTGAAGAGCAAAGACATCAAATTGGAGTGCCTCACTCTGGGAGTGCTGAGTAACATCTCCACCCATGACTCAATTGTCAGAGCCTTTGTAGAAGCTGGAGGCATTCCTGTGTTAATTAAGCTCTTGTCTATGGAAGAACCCGAATTGCTGTCTCGTTGTGCAGTGTTTTTATATGATATTTCCCAGCTGGATAATAACCAAGTCATCATTGCTGAACTGGTAAATCTAATCGGGGGGGGGGGGGGGGGAATCTTCACTTTTGTGGTCATCCTTCTTCAATAAATTAATTAGAATAAGATGATGGGCATGCCTTTCCATGGTAAGAAACATATATTTTATTATTTGTGACATTATTCAGATTTGTTTGATATTTATAAGTATTATAAAGTAGAGGCATGTCTGAGTGGATAAGGCCACTTCTGAGTTCTGCTTTCACCTTGCAGCCATAACTGTGACTATGTTATTGTTGTTGACTGGGTTTGAGAAATCAGGAACATCCCTGTTGTCTGTAACCCTTTCTTTTTACACTAGCCTCTGAAATGAATTTCTGCCCCAATCTTAATGATTGCTGAGCTACATCTTGAACTAATTTTAATTGTAGTTAAGGTTAATCTTGATCATTGGGATTGTGCTTGACTTAAGATATGAAAATTTTAAATTACATCTTTGGACAACAAAAACACTGATTTGTTTTTTAAAATGTCCATGTGCTTTAAAAATGGCCATGTGATGAGCTGAAGGAGGAAAGGAGAAGGATTCTCAGGGTTGAAACTATGCAATCTTGAAGGTGGGTTCTGTTTTGTGAATTACAGTGTATTTAACATGACAGATTGACTTGAATCCAGAGATTTTTTTTACAAAAATTATGCTAGAGTTCTGATAGAATATTTCTGTTGGTGGAAAAAAGGAAAGTGATCCTCACTTAATTTTCCCTTTTTTTATCCCACCGGCCCATCAAGGCTAAGGAAGATACCACAAACCCTACTCCTCTCACCACATATTCCAGGAGATCTCAAGAACTGTGGAGAGAAGGAAAAAATTAGGAAAGATTGCCTTTCCACCCTGTGAAGAATTGAGATTTTTGTTAGATTCAGCCCATTGTATTTTCTGAGTCTTATTCATTCTATTTTTGCCTATGTCCCTTATAACTTTTTTAATGTAGGATGGAATTCCTGCTCTCATCAATCTGTTACAATATGACTTACAAGATCTGCTTGTGAATGTAATGAGCTGTATCCGAGTATTATGCAAGAATAATAAAGAGAATCAGTTGAAAGTGAAAGAAATGATGGGTATTGAACCACTTGTCCAGTTCTTACGTTCAGATTCAGGTAAAAACAAAAATAGCATAATTGGTTTTAAGGGAATGACATAGTTTACTGATCATTTAACTTTCTAGATCATTTTAGTTCTGGGGTGATGGGACTTGCAGGAGAAGACATCTGTTTCACCAGCAGTATCTATTCTCTAATAGACAGATATAGTTAGACTCAACAATAAAGTGCAGCCTTAGAAGTCTCAGTGCCAAGGGGAGTAGATACATTTACTAGGAAATTTTTATCTTCTAGTCCTGGTTCTGTCATTCATTTGTATGACCCATTAAAGAATGTCTTGCTTTACAAGTGCTAGAAATATTTAATACTTTGAAGGGGGGAAATGTAACATCATTATCATTACAGCAACAAGTCTTTGTCAAGCATTTTAGTGTAATTTTTAGTCAGGAAATAGATATAGCAAAGTATAAAATAAGAGGATACGCCCTAATATTTAAAAAAAATCTAACATCTATAGTTTATGCCTCTTATTTATGTATATTATTTTTTATCCATAGGTTTTCCATTAACATTAAAAACATATACTCTTGACACATCAATACCAATATAAAGAGGATAACCTGTTATAGCTTAAACTTGGTACATTGCATGAAGGGTATACAGTAAATGATTATTTCAAAATGCTAGGTATAATAGTAATTACCATTTGGGGATTCATTGGTGAATTTGAGATGATTTATCATTGGTTAGAGAAGTTAAAAAAATTATTCAAAAGGAAATATTCAATCTGTAAATTGTCATTATTACTATAAGTAATGAGAGTCATTAAAAGATTAGAACAGATTCTACATATATCTGGCTTTTATATCTGTATTTTTTTCTGCTTAAAGATGTCCTGGTGGCAGTGGCCTCAGCAGTGATTGCAGAAATTTCTCGTGGGAATATGGAAATGCAGAATGCTATCATGGCGGCAAATGTTATTGATCCTCTAATTCAACTTCTCAGAGGAAGGAAAATCGGTGTCCAGGTTAAAGGAGCAACAGCAATTGAGGCACTCTGTGAAGGGAACACTATTATCCAGATGAGATTTCTAGCCAAATCTGTGACTAAGTTCCTTCTGAAGCTCCTGAAGGCAAGTGTTTCATTTTTTTAGTGGAACATCATACCCAAGTCATTGTATAAGGGATGATGATGATGATGATGATGATGACGATGATATGTCATCAAGTACTGTCAATTCTTAGAGACTACATAGCTAGACTTTCCCATGATTATCTGTCCCTAACCTGGTCCTTCAGGTTTCCCAACAATAACTGAGTTCACCCATCTGGCTGCTGTGGTCCTTTCCTTTCCTTTTTCCCCAAATTAGAGACTTCTCCAGAAAGCTGGGCCTTCACATAAAGGCTTAAAGTAGAATAATTTCAGCCTGGTTATTTGTGCTTCGAGTGACATCTGGATTGGTTTGTTTGATGGTCCATTGGCTAGTTTTCTTGGCTCTTCATGGTATTATCAGAAGTCTTCTTCAACAGCAAAGTTCAAAAGCATCAATACTCTTCTAATAGAGAAAATATGCTTATGCTCATAAGCTTTCATATATAGCTTTCTCTTTTTGGTTCAACTTCCAGGCCTTTCACTTGAAAGTGAAAGAACAAGGGGCTGTAACCCTCTGGGCTCTAGCTGGACAAACACTGAAGCAGCAGAAATTCATGGCGGAACAGATTGGATACAATTTAATTATAGACATGCTTCTATCACCATCTGATAAAATGCAGTGTGTTGGTAAGTCACTGTTGTTCAGGCACAAACTCATATAGGAGTTAAAAAATTCTTAAATGTATTTGTTACTTTTGTTGTTTTGGAAGGAGGAGAAGCTGTCATAGCTCTTAGCAAGGACAGTGAAATTCACCAGAACCAAATATGCGAAGGGAATGGAATCGCCCCTTTGGTCCGGCTGTTAAGAAGTGGAAGGATAGCAGAAGGCACCCTCCTCAGCGTGATCAAAGCCTTAGGCACAATGTGTGTCGGTCTGTAGTTCCTTTTCTTTTTCTCCCGAAGTATAACAATGTTAAAGCTTTTGAGTAAAGACCATGGAAGGGCGTAGGAAAGAGTAGTCTTAATATTCTACAATATTAGACAGGTTTGAGAGCTATAGCAGTCCATTTCCCCCTCTACAGCAATCCTCTTCACAAAGCAGATGCATTATCAAAATAGCTGCAATCTTACACCTGCAGTTTGTGACTCACAAAGCCAACTATAGCCCAGTCAGGATTTAGTTCCTTCTTTTTCCGAACTTCCTGGTATAAGCTTTTGAGGCTATAGTTGGCTTGGTTTTAAAAAGTAAGTCTAAAGAAATCATCAGAACAGATGGAATGAAATTATTACTAGCAACTTATATTTAGCCCCAGTTTTTCTAGAAGACCTTATCCAAGAATAGACCTTAATACAATCATTTCCAGTGATATCAGATTATATATCCTTCTACCTCAGTACAGAATACAGTACTCTGACACTACTATATTGTACAGATGTCAGCTGCAGACTCCTCCTTAATCTGCTATCTAACCCTTTTTTAACCCAGGATTCTACCAAGGTCTAGTAAGAAAGCCAAAATAAAATTAGCTTTGTGAGGTAAAA